TGTGATGTGTTATGTTTGGCTCTCAGTCACTGAATGGCCGGTAAAGTGGAACACAAGCTTATATATGAACTAATGGTAATAAATGTTTTAATTGTGTTTAAGCGGTGTTCCCGGTCAAGGATTTTAATATAACTTTGTATGTGTGTTAATTAAGGTGTATATAATTGATAACTAAAGTCAAAACTTTGAGTTGACAATAGGCCAAAAGTTATTATCTAAAATGTTTTTAATTAACACATAGTGTTGAATGTAAGGGAAAGTGGTTCCCACACTGCATAGGGTATTGCCGGTGTATAACAAATAGATATTATGTGTATGTATTTGTGTACTTACATGTATAACATAAAGTTAAAGTAAGTGCTATAAAATATTAAATGTAATAAAAGGGTTGGATATTTATTGAAATAGATATTGAGATTGTATTGGTTTTATTGTATGTAAAATAAATGAATTTCTAAATATAAAATAGCAAATATATACTAAAATGAAATTATAATAAAATAAATGCATAAAATAAAAATATACTTTACATATATATATATAAATCTGATACTATTATGAATATTATTTGTTGTTATATATACTAACTTTAAAAAAATATAAAATACATTAATTTCTTTAAAACAAATTAATAGTAATTCAATAATGAATATTAAGATAATATATAAATATTTAAAAAAAACTTTTGTTTCAATTATTTTTAATTAATTCAAATTATTAAATACTAATAAAAATAAAATACTATTTGTTTTTATGCTAATTATTCTCAAAAAATAGTTATTTTTTATCTCAATTATTAATATTTAAATATTATTGAACTTTATATTGATTTTGGTTTATATATTATTTTTAATATACCGGTAATTATAATATATAAAATGTAAATATTTATTGTATAATTAAAATGTTTATTAGTATTTTAGTTAGTTTATGATTAGTAAAATTATAATTAATTCTAATGGACATTATATACTGTATATATATATATAATATTAAAATTTTATATTTTAGTTATATCAACATAATATAGTTATTTTTATAAATTATTTGTATTATTAATATTAATATATAATATTAATAGGTTATAAAAAAAACATTTTTAAAAAATATATATAAATGTATTGAAATATTTAAAAATCATATTATAATATAAAAGTTATTTAAAAAATGACAACACTAATTGAGATTACATACATTTTATTAATTTGAAATTTTAATTTTTTAATTAATTTTCTTACAAAATAGTATCCAAATTATTTATATTATTTTATCTTATTTTTAATATTAATAATTTTTACTAATTTTGAGATTATTGCTAATTGTTGTTGTGAGTATGGGGTTTATGAAATAAATAAATTTTTATTGTAAATACAATATTTTAATTAGAAAAAATGTCTAAAAACACATTTTTAATTTGATTTAATATACATGTAAAATAAAATTTTTATTTTATTAATTAAACACAAATAATTATATACAGTATTGTATGTATGTATGTGTGTTGACTGTATAAGTAGGGTTCGTTCAAATTTCATCTCTTATTTTATTCACCAAAAGCAATATATATATATTCTCTGCTCTCTGGGAATTCCCGCCCCCACCCTCTCTCTAGGAAATCTATTTCCTTGTGATTTCCTATTGAACCCTATGATACAATTTTTATTTAAAAAAAGAAAATCTTTATTTTACGTGAAAATTAAAATGGGAAATTTATATGGGAACTTCTCTCACTTTCCAATAAGTAAGTTTCCAATATTATTACAGTAGTAGTAATAATACAGTAGTATTAACCATAAAAACAGTTATCATTTATCTTTTTTTATTATTATTATCATTATCAGTATCATTGAACAGTTAGCTACCCATCCATCAAAACAAATGTATAACAACTACTACTACTACTACTATTTGTCCTCATCGGTGGTAGTGGTGTTGTTGTTGGCATCAACCATATGTCTGTTAGTCCAGTTAGATATGGCACTGGCAGCTGATGATTGTGGTAGACTAGAAACCGATCTAAAGGGTTGTCTAGTCAAGCGCTGGGATATATACAGTGCCGATAAAATTGCCGCAATAGTGGCCAATGGATCGTCTGATAGTAATTTATACCCGAAAATAATGGTATGTTCATCGTTGGAGACTCACTGTGCTAACAAAAAATTGGTAAATGTTTTTTTTAGTTTTGATTTGATTTTAATTATTATTATAAATTTTTTAAATTAATTTTTGTTGTATACAAATTACATTATACAGTAATATAATAATTGAATTGAATTTTATTATAGTTTTTTTTTAGTGGACAACATTTCAATAAAGATTCACTTAAACTATACAACAACAAAAATAAATAAATATTATATTACATTAATTTTTTTTAAAAAATAACTATTAACAAAAGTTTATATATATTTAGTTATTATAATATCTATACAACAATAAGCAAATATATATACACCAGTAATTTATATGAAAAATTATAGTTTAATTGTTTAAACACTATTCTAGATAAAAAAATATTTTTAAGATCTATAGTGTATATTGAATATAATGATAATAATAATAAGATTATATAGTAGTCTAATTTATAGTAAAATAATAATAATAATTTACATTAAATTTTTTTTAATTAAAGGCTAAAAAATGCAAAGATGTTCGGATAGAGAGTAAACAAGAAATGGATATCGAGTTAGAAATAGCGGCCAAATCGGGATTCATTGCCAATGAGGCCAACTGTAAGAAACTAAACCCCAGCGGACCGGTTGGTATATGTAGTAAAACTATTGTAAAACAACAATATCTACCGTGTCTTAGTTTACAGTAAATAGTCATACTGTATATATTGAACATATATATCAATATATTCATTAATCTGTATATTATTAATATTGTTTAAATTATTATTAATGTATGTTTTGTTAAAATTTTTAAATAAAAAACATTTACTGTGTGTATAAAATTAAATATTAAATCTATCAAAAAAAAATTTGTTCAGAATATTATAATTTTTTCAAAAAAAATAAATATATTTTATTAAAATTTTATTTAATTATTTTTGTTTTGTTCACTGGGGGCTAATGTGGGCCCAACTGTCGGGCCATTAAAACTGGAAAATACTGACCGATAATATATGTCTGCAATCAATGCAGTCAATGCATTAGAGCTACCGGTGCCCGACCCAGACTCCCCATTTCATAATACTAATCATACTGTCATTGTTTTCTAATACCCTAATTGTTATTCAATACAAATAATAGACTAATAATATTAGAAAATAATTAATTAGAAATACTTTTTTGTTTATTTTTTTTTTTAAATAACAATTATAAATTCAAATTGAATAGTATTGTTTTTTTGTGTGTATGTAGTTATGCTATTTTATATTTTATTATATGTATAATATATTATATCTATAAAATAAATAATTATTTTTAAAAATATATTTTAATTAGAAAAATGTCTAACATTTTTTAAAATTTTTTATTTAATATACATGTAATTATCAGTTTATTAATTAAAAATATATTTTCTATATTTATAACGATAATGAATGGTAAGAAAAATAATTATATATATATATTTATATATAAATTCCCTAGTATTTTACGGGAAAAATTAAAAAGGGGATTTATTTAATGGGAAATTACTTTCATTTGTTGGGGAAGTTGCCCCAACTTTAACTAAAATTTAATATATTATATAATATATTAATAGGTAGCAATCAGTCGACTACTTACAGCAAACAGTTAGTTAGTTATTGATAGTTATCTTAATCATTGAACAGTCAAATTAAACAATAGTTGTTCAATCAAACAAACAAAAAACATAATGTATAACAACTATTTGTCATCATCGGTGGTGATGGTGTTGGCATCAACAGTATGTATGTTAGTCCTGATAGATACGGCACTGGCTAACGATGATTGTGAAAAACTAGAAACCGATCTAAAGGGTTGTCTAGCCAATCGCTGGGAAACATACAATCTCGATAAAATTGCCCAATTAGTGGCCAATGGTGGCGATACTAGCATTTACGGCAAATTAATGGTTTGTTCAGCATTGGAGACTAACTGTGCTCATAAAAAATTGGTATATATATTTTTTTGATTTAATTAATTTATATATTTTTTTTATAATACAAATAATACAATAATACTTAATATACAAAATAAGCATATATATATACATATATGATAAATATAAGGATATCTTTTTAATATAATAATCTAATATAAATTTTTTTATGTACATATTAGTAAGTAGGTATGTATAAAAAAACATCATAAATTTTTAATATCTAATTTATATATATATATATATTAATATACAGTATATTTAATTTGATTTTTTAGGCTAAAAAATGCAAAGATGTTAAGGTAGAGAGTAAACAAGCATTGGATGCAAAGTTAGATATAGCGGCCAAATCGGGATTTACCGCCAATGAGGCCAACTGTAAGAAACTAAAGCCCAAAGCACCGACCCATGACTGTAAATCATATCTACCGTGTCTTAAATGATTGATAAATAGTTATATATATAAAAATATAATGTTTTTTTTAAATAAAATTTTTGAATTTCTAATTATAACAACTAATACAATATAGTAATAAAAATACATATAAATAATTGTTTTTTTTTGAAAATAAATAAATATTAATTATATAAAATAATATTGCATATTATAATTTTTAATAATAATTTCATTTTTTTAAATAAATATATATATAATTAATTTGTTATTCAACAAAATGGCTAATTATTTCATTTTAATTAATTATTAAAACCAATTAATTTCCAAACAGAGGTATTTGTTTTTACGCAATTTGCACTATACAGTGATATACCTGTATATACCTGTATATATATACATGTATTGATTTTAACAAATTATAATAATTGTTATTATTAATATAATAGCACATCTATAAATATTATTTATTTAATAAAACTAAATGTAATAAATAAATCAATAAATATATTTGTTTAAAAAATAAACTATAATTGATTACATTTATTAATATAAACTCAACAATCATAGCTACCGCCCCCACCACCATCACCAGGTCATCCACAAAAAAAATAATGCAGATTACAGTATTAACGGTTAGGATACTAGTGTTGTCGATATATATGATGGTATCATCAATGGCTACCACCGATGATCACCAATTGGTTGGTCAGTCGGCAGTCGGCGTCGTCGACGACTACTGTCCAAACATTATACTAACAATTGACAATTGTATTGTCCACCGATGGGACTTAGAAAATGTTACCGCCGGTGCCAAAAATCCTGTCGACTATGTCAAACACTTGTGCTGTGCACTATTGGAGACTAACTGTGCCCACAATCTATTGGTTAGTATTAAAGATTTTTTTCTAAAAAAATAAATAAAATTGTATTACAATATTAATATAGATATAATATATTTAAACAAACAAAAAATGTTTATTTTATATTTTAGTCCAAACAATGTTCAGATATTTATAATGAAGATAAGGACGAGTTGGACATAAATTTGAAAAAGTGTACAGAAGTCGGTTTCATTACCAATGAGACCAACTGTCTAAGTGTCCGACCAAAAGTGGCCGACAATATATATCAAACAATTGACAAATGTCATACATATGTGCCGTGTTTTAATATACAGTAATATAAATATAAAACCTCCTATACCTCCCTCCTCCCACACACATATATATATATATATACTGTATATACACTTTCATTTACTTACTGCTTGTTATATTAATAATAATAATTTTGTTATCTATGATAAGTAAAATTAAATTTTTTTTAAAAATTAATAAATAATAGAAATAGTAAATTAAATAATGAATTTGTAATGAAAATAATGTAATGAAATTTTATTGTATTGTAATAAAGTACATGTATGTAATAAATTATATGGAAATATATATTTATTTATTTTTTAAATTTCAATAATTTATATTAAAAATTTTATAACTTAAGTTTTAAAATATTATTGTAATTTCCTCTAAATAAATGTATTTTATCAGTAATACTAGTCGACAAACTTTTTTTTTTAAACATTCATCAAAATTGTATTTTTTTATTTATTAAAATTTATTATAATTATTATAAAATTTTGCTTCCCAATAAATAAATAAATTTATGTAAAATAAAGATTTTTAACTATTGTATGTAAAAGTTTAATTTTTTAATACTGATATTTATTGAAAACAATTAATTGTAACTTTAAAAACAATTTTATTATTATTAATAATTTTAGTATAATGTATTATTGTATATTACTAGCAAAATTATTATATGTAATAAAAATAACAATTAAATATTAATGTATTAAACATTATAATAATGTAATTATAATACTAATAAACAAAATACTTTATTTAAATATTTTTTTTTGTAATTTCCTCAATATTTTTATCGGCAATACTAACTTGACAAACATTAACAACAACGACATTTTAATTTTTATTCAACAATTTTTATATTTTTATTATAGTTATTAAAAAATATTTTATATCCACTTATTTTTTTTAAAAAATATATATCTAAAAATTATACTGTATATATTTTTCTTTTATTTAATATGGAAATGTGTATTAAAATAAAAATATATTATATATTATATATTATATACAATATATGATAGAGTAGATTGATAAATATATAAATTAGGAAATATATTCCATGGGAATTCCCGGGGAGCAGGAAAAACTAGGTAACTTTTGGTTAAATTTGCAATTTGCACGAACCCTACTCATAATACAGTACTTAACTGTAAAAAAATTTATTTGAATCAAAAAAAATTAAATAACTAAAAAAAACATATGTAAATAGGAAAATAAATAATTGTAATTTGATTTCCTATTTTGCACTATAATATTACTTATATTATTTATAAGTAATTAATTCTGCTAAAATCGTCATATTTAAAATAAAAAATTAATTAACTAAAAAAAACTACATAAGCTATACATCCATTTAAACAGCAAAAACGGATTTGAAAATAGTTGCCAATCTGTCTGTCTGTTTGTTTAGTACATCCAATACAGTTGATTACCGGTATATCAAAAACCAAAACCAACCAATAAAACAATGTCACAGCAATCGGTATTCACTGGACTGCTATTATGGGTAGTGGTGGCTGCGGTAGCCGTCACTATGGTTTGGTCGGTGGCAGCAAAAGGAAAAGCACATTCAAAAACGCATACAACAACAACATCAAAGCCGGCAAAACACAGGGCCTGTAAGGATGATATATGGGATGTCAACATATGTTTAGCACATCGATGGGAAACAATGAATCTGGGATTGCTATTCAAAAAAGATAACGATTATCTTAAGCGACAGTGTTGTTTTATATGGGAAAGCCACTGTGCCCACTCAAAATTGGTAAGTCCTCCCCAGCCCGTCCCATCCACTCACCCCACCCCATGTGGGTTTTAAATTGTCGGGGGGTAAATCCATTACCTCATAGGGTGACCCCAGCCCAGCACCTCAATGGGGTGGGGTGGGGGACAATTTACAAGTAATTTCTAAAAGTCTAGGATTGTACAGGTTCTATCTATCAATAGTAATGGACTAGTATTTAGTTTATTTTTTATGAGGTGGGGTGGGGGTAGGGGAGTGATAAAATTTTTGTTTTTATCTGTTTAATATATATATAGTATAGTTAGGGTGTAGTAGTATTAGGAGGAGGTGGAGGGTTAGTGATTTAGATATGTTTAGATTAGTCTCTGATTGTTAATTAAATACAATTATAATGTGTTTAGTAGTAGTAGTAGTAGTAGTAGTAGTAGTAGTAGTAGTAGTAGTAGTAGTAGTAGTAGTAGTAGTAGTAGTAGTAGTAAATTTCAAATATTTATATATTATTATTATTAATATTAACGATAATATCTAAAAAATTAGGTCAAAAAATGTCCCGAAGATTTGGTACAGAAAAAAACTGATTTGGAAAAAGCGATGACTGATTGCGGAAATAAACTCAAATTTACAGTCAATACTGAAAATTGTAAAAAATTGAAACCATTGGACCAGACAAATGAAAATTGCAAACCGTATGTGCCCTGCTTTGGTACGGCTATCAAAGTGGTCATCACCACACCTGCCAGGTAAGCATCACTACTACAACTATCACCACCAACAACAACAACAACAAGTGTTTATACAATATATATATATATGTTTTTATGTTTGTTAACTTTAGTGCCGATGAAACGACTACAGGTGCCGATGAAACGACTACAGGTGCCGAATAAAACAATTACTGCTACAGTTAATAATCAAGGGGAGGGGTTAGGGGGTGATTGATGGATTCTACCCTGGATTCAATAAGTTGTTTAATTTAAATATAGTTTTAAATATTTTGTTTTTAAATTTATTATACAAATTACTATTAGTAGTAGTATTATTGTATTGATTTAAATAATTGTAATTTTTTAAAAAAAATTTGTTTATTTTTTTTGTTTGTAATTTTTCTCTAATAATAATAATACAACTAAACTATATTATTAATTAAAAATAAAATTTCCATTTAAAAATAAATATAAACACGTATTATTTTACTTATATTATTGATATATATATATATGCTTATTATCAATATTTAATAAAGAAAATTTAAAAAAAATAAAAATTAAATAAACTAAAAAAACATATGTTGGAAAAAAAGTTTAGTTTTAGTTTAGTTTTAATTAATTAATTAATTTTTTCTGCTTATTCAAATTAATTAGTTAATTACTAAAATAGACATTTTTATTTGTAAATTAAAAAAAAAATAAATTAAATAAAATAAAATCATTCATACATACATAAGCTATCATTTTATATATATATAAAAAATAGCAAATAAAATATAAGTGAAATTAGTTGCCAATCTGTGTGTATATCTGTCTATCTCTGTCTCTCTCTCTCTTTCTGTTTGGACATCCATTACTGTTGAATACAAATCAAACCAACAAAACAATGTCTCAGTCGATATCGTCATTACTATTGCTCGTATCGGTAGTGGTGGTGGCGTCGGTGGCTATCACTACGGTATTATCGGCTGCAACAACCAAAGCGACAACAAAACCAACAACAAAATCGACAACAAAAACACCGACACTGACATCATTGACAACGACGACACCGAAATCGGCAAAAAATGACTGCAGTCGTGATTTTTTTGAACTGGGCGTATGTATGGCTAATCGATGGGAATCATACAATATATTGAATGCCTTCAAAAAAGATAACGATTTTTTCCAAAAACAATGTTGTCTACTATGGGAAAGCCACTGTAGTTACACAAAATTGGTAAGCAACCCACCCCCGACCTCCCCCCTATTCCCGTATCTATAGGACTGCTTGGGTAAAATTGAACATTAACAGCATCTGGTGTGTGTTTGTGTGTGTGTGTGTATATATATATGTGCGGATGGGTGGGTAATGGTGCACACAGGTGCATACATCATCAAATAATAATTTATTTTTCAAATTTTTTTATTTTGTTTGTAGGTTATGATGATATTAGTGTTAGAGTTACCCGGAAAACATTTTATTTTATTTATTTTTTAATTGTTTAAAACTAAAGTTGTAGTATAAATTAAGCAATAGTAATTGCTATTATTTTATTATTATTTTCAAAAAAAATTTAGGCCAAAGTGTGTCCAAAAACACCGATAGCTAAACAGGCAGAGTTGGAAAAAATGTTGTCCGGTTGTGTAAAAACTGTCAAATTTGTAGTCAACGCCGAAAACTGTAAAAAATTGAAACCTATTGAACAAAATAAGGAGGTATGCAAACCCTATCTCCCCTGTTTTGATATGCCCGTCAAATTGGAAATCCCAACCACCACTACCACCACCACCACTACTACTACTACTGCCAGGTAATAATAATAATAATAATAATCATTAATATTTACCATCACTACTACCAAACACACCATAACCATCGACAACAATAACTAATTTACTCGCCATCTAAATAATACTATACTTTTATTTTTTTTTTGTTTTTGAATATTGATTTTTTTTATTACTGTGTGTTTTTTTTAATAAAACTATAGTTCAGAAGAAACAACTACAGGTGCCGATGAAACAACTACTACAGGAGCCGCTGAGTCAACTACAGGAGCCGATGAAACGACAACTACTGCAGGAGCCGCTGAGTCAACTACAGGTGCCGAAGAAACGACAACAACAGGAGCCGGTGAGACGTCAACTACAGGCGCTGAGGAAACAACTACAGCAGTAGTAGCCCAGGAAACTACTGCTGCTGGTGCCGATGAATCGACTACAGGAGCCCAAGAAACTACTACTACAGGTGCCGAGGAAGCAACTACTACTGGAGCTGTGGAAACTACTGCAGGAGCCGATGAAACTACTACTAGTGGTTCATAATCGGGTAATGGATCTAAAAAATAAGTTATTTAGTTGAATATATCTAAATATAGTCTAAATATTTTAGTTTTTTAGTTCATACAAAACTGATAATAATTATTATTAGTTTAATATATTTTTATTAATTAATTAATTGTAAACAAATTTTGTTGATAATTTATTTATTTTATTTTTTACGTTTGTTTAATTGATTGATTGTTTGTTTGTAATTTTATCTATGGAAAAATCAAGTAATCAATTTATAGAAAAGTATATAATAAAATCTTAACATTTTAACTATTAAATAAAAAATTAATATTTATTTTTTTAAAAAATTTCTATTCAAAAAATATTAATATTAAAAATGTCTGATATTTTCTATATGTATTAACTAATGTATTAGAAAACATCTGCAATAATTACAATAATAATGTAAAAATTAATAATATATGATTTTAGTAATATATTTATTGATATATTTATTATCTAAAAATAATACAATTATTTTAATTACAATAATAATTTTTAAAAAATTCATTAACTTGTAATTAATGAAATCTAATTTTTTTTATTTAAAAAAAAATATGATAAATTAATATATTATTTATAGATTATAATAGAAAATAAATATTATTTTAGAATAATTTATAAATATTTTTTTTGTTAATATTTTATTTAAATACTGATAACAATATACTGTATAGTAATAGTAACAAACAAACTATTGATTAGAAAGTAATAATTACTATTAGTTTTCAAAAACTAATTATGAAAATATAAAAAAAAACAACAAAAATTATTTATAAAATTATTTTTTTGTAATTATCAATTTACATTTTTAAAAAAATCAATTATTAATTTAAACTAAATTATTAATAAATTTTTCAATTATTATTATTAGTATAAAATATTAGTTAACAATAATTAAATAATTTATTTGATTAAATAATGAAAATGATTGCACGAGATCTTGCTTTTTATAAAATAACTGTAACATTGAATTCAAACAAACAAAAAGCGAGAAAAAAATCGATTCAATTCAAAAGTTTTAATTGTTTTTTTTCAAACTTGACATTCAATTTCAACTGCTATTTATAAATCCATTGCTTGTCTACGACTGACTGCACATCACCGACAAAGACATTGACCATTAGTTTTAAATATTTTTTGTGTTTAGCTAAAAGACAACAACAATTGTTTGCAATTAAATGTTTTGCAATCAATTACCAGTTCAGATGCTGTTCATGCTGTTGTTGTCCACTAATTGTTTGATACAATCGACGGTATCTGTGTCTGTGTTGTCGTCATCAACAGCGGCGGCGATGGCGGTGACGGCTGTGGTAACTCATGTCAGTGGTGGTGGTGGTGGTGACGGCGACCAAAACCAGACCTATCGGCGTCAACTGTTTCGCCGATCGACTGACTGTACCGTTGATTTGGAAGCTTTGAAAAACTGTGTCGGAATCAGATGGAAGAGTAAAGATGGACCGGAATTCCAATGTTGCGGTCAACTGGAAGGCTATTGTCTGTTAAATCAATTGGTAAGTGTGTGTGTAACTCATAAATACTGGTTGGTTGTCTATATTACCTGTCAAACACACAGTTATACCACATATACTGTATATATATATATATGTGATATACCGGTATATATGATATGTTGTTGTTTTTTTTTAGCCCGACAACTGTCTAAACTCTAAACCCAATAGTGATGTATTTGACAAAAAAATGAAAAACTGTTCAGACAATCATGGCTTCAAACCGGATGAGACCAACTGTAAGGCATTGAATCCTCCAGATGTGACCACCGATGACTGTAAGAAATATCTTCCCTGCTATAGCTATAGTACTACTAGTACTAGTACTAGTACTACTAGTAGTACAGGTGTCCAACACGAATCCAATGTAGTTAATGCCGGTGCCCGACACGTATTCAACGTATTGTTATTGGTGGCCGTTATTGGTTTACTTTAATTTACTACAAATATAAATGTCTAATATTTAACTACAAAAATACAATACATTTTAATACTAATTATTATTTTTTAAATATTTCATATATTATTTTTGTTTGTTATATTTTTAATGAAAAAATTTTATTTTACTTTCTATTATATTATATATCGATTATATATATATATATTTTTATATATAATTTTATTGAATGAATTATATTTTTCATTCATATTTTTAGTATACATTTACAAATGTTTTTTTATACACAAAAGTATTTATTATAACTAATTATTAAAAAAAATATATTAATGTAATTAAAAGTTTTTGTTTAATTCAATATAATAATTATCGGTATATTTCGTCAATCAATTCAAAAGCAATTAGTTTCGGCCACATCTTCATAATGCCATATACTGTACGCAGAATTACAGTACATATTGATAACCTTTGACCTGAGATGAGGTTTCATTAGAAATAGCCAACGATGTCGTTGACAATCGCATACAAACTGATTGTCGCCGACGTCCACAAAATAGTTGTCATCGGATTCGATGAATTGACGGAAAACCGATTCGGGAAAGTAATCCAATTGATTGGATTTGATTAATAAAATCAATGGTCGCTGAAGATTGTCAAACACTATCGGCGACAACTGTGCGGCTGATAAACGATTTGCATTGAGCGACAGTAACATCGGTACCGGCGATGGCAATCGTATAGCCAGTGAGTTGGCTGCAAGTGTTACCAGACTGTTGTTATCGAGTTTCAGTGACCGTAGATTCCGTAGCTCGAAGAAGGCGTACTCATCGATATGACTGATCCGATTGTCTGATAGGTCAATGAACCGGAGTCGCACCTGTAGCTGATTGTCAAACGTATTGCGTGCGATCCGATCGATACCGATATCTTTGAGTGTTAGCGACTCGAGACTAGCAAACGAGTTGAACACTTTCAATAGTTCGCTACCATCGACGCCGTCGGCTATCAGGTCATTGCTGGCCGCGTAGAACATCTTCAGTGTAGACGACGCCGCGGCCAACAGCGACGAATCGGTAAAGTTGTCAAATCGTAGATACGGATTGTCAGTGATTTCGATGTCGACAAACGGCAATACACCGAAATAGTTGTCATCGATGACTGTTACCGATGTTTTGGTCAACCGAAATGAATCCAATATTAGTTCGGGATTTGTCAACAGCTGTTGATTCAGCTGATCCAGTATAGTGTCGATGTTATAGTCGTCGATACTGTCGCCCACACAATTGATACTGATTTTGTTTGGCACCAACCGATTGTTCAAACATACACACGGGTCGATGTCACGAATGTTACGGCAATCGCTGACCGTATGTTTCACTGACACCAAACCAATCATTGCTATTATCAATGATTTTAATTTGTTTGAATACATTACTAACTTTTTGAATATATGATTGACTATTGTTAACATCAATGGATATCATAGATCATAAAAATATTTTTTTATTTCATAAATAAAATCTTAAAATAACTTTAAAATAAATTAGTTTTATTACATGTATTGATAAATTTAATACCAATTATTATCTAATTAATTAACTTTTATTAATAAAAATTATGTATATATTTATTTGATAATGTAGTAAATGATATCGTATATGAAAAAATAAGCTTAAATATAATTTCTAAAATAATTGATGGCATTGTTAATTGTAAATGTCAATTAAAAAGTTATTGAACTTATTATAGTTTATTTTATTATACTTTTATTTCTGAAAAAAACTATTACCGTAATTATTAAAATAAAATAGAGAAAAAAAATTAATTTATATAAAAAAAACTTAATATACTGTATATGCAGTATAATATTGAAATAAAATTTATAAATAAGACATCAATAATAATAATAATAATAAAAACAATTAAAAGGTTATTTATTATACCGGTATTTGTTCACCTAATATCTACTGTACATAAATGCATATCAAAACCAAACAAACAAACAAATTATAATTTATTATTTAGTAATTGAAAAATGAAAAAAAAACTTTTATTACAATCTCTATAATATAATACAGTAATTTGTATAACAATTACATTACATTATAAATCATTGACTAATCATAGATGGCATATACAGTACACAAACACACACACACACACACACTCAGACACACATACACACTCACATACACACACATACACACACACTCACACATACACACATACACACATACACACATACACACATACACACATACACACATACACACATACACACATACACACATACACACACACACTCAGACACACATACACACTCACATACACACACATACACACACACTCACACATACACACATACACACATACACACATACACACATACACACATACACACACACACACACACACACATACACACACATACACACACACTCACACATACACACACACACACACACACACACACACACATACACACACACACACACACATACACACACACACACATACACACACACACACACACACACACACACACACAATAGCAAGCATTGAATTCAATGCATAGAAATAAATACAAACAAAACATATAATAAATATTTTTTTTTCAATTGAATTGTTTTATTTGATTTTCAATAGCATTGCAAATAACTAAACATTTTTTTTGTAAATTGTTTTTATTTATTATTAGACTATTAATTATCAGTTATAATAATTGCCATCTGAAGACATTTTCATCATCAGCTGACTGATCCTCAAGACTGATATCATTGACAATGTCGACCGATAAGAGCAAATTGATTCAACTAAACGACGGTTTGTATGATATGTTTAGTTTTGACCACCAATTTGTCGGCAGCGGCGGCGGTGACAGTGATGATCATCACTAACTACCCGACAAATTGTTGTCAAAATTTGATTGATTGTATATTAACTGATTGTCTGGTTGTTGTTGTGGTTTTGATATCACATTAGATGAAGTGATGCGCCGAAAGCTATTACTGGACGGCGACGGCGTTGGCGACGATCGGCGTCTGAATGTTGTCCTCAAACAGTTCATTAAATGGTGTCTAACCGACGACGAAACACTGGAGGACAGGTATATCCGTAGTATTATAATACAGTGTTATTATATGTTTAATGTCCTGATGATGTACTGACCCGATGTTCACACCCGCGGCGGCTAACAGAGTCCTCAACTACGAGCGGATACTGTCGACACTGAGTCAGTGCGAGCTATCGATGACCAAATCGGAACAAACCCTACGTATGATATCCAGGGAAATGGAAAACTACGAAGACTTGTACCGCAAGATTGACAAATCCATTGAAGATTGTCAACAAAAACTGGTCAAATGTAAGGCCGAACTATCGGAGGCCAAACGAGTCAGGAAAAACAAATGCGAATACGAATCGATGGCTGTACTGATTGGCCGACACCCCGACAGGACGGACACTATGAAACAGTTACAAGAATTGGAAAAAGAGATCCGTCGGCTGCAGAAAACAAAGACCGATATACAGAATAAATTGGAAAAACGGCGCAAACAGTTTCAGGTGCTGTTGGGCGCCGCACAACAACTCAATCATATACTTAATGGTAGGATATCTTCATCATCACTATCACTGATGTCTTGTTGTTGATGATGATGACGGCATATCAGACAAGACATTTGTAATGATAATGATGTGATTGTAATGTCAATTGTTTTTACAGCCGAAGAGGAATCAGAGTCTAACGATACGACTACTGCATTGACCGTTGTCTCCTCCGCCGAAGCCGCCGCCGCCACCACCGATGATGTTACTGATGACCAAAAAATGGATACCATTTGAATGATTGATTGATTGATTTTTTAAATATTGTTATTTGATTTAACACAAAAAAACTGTATATATTATATACAGTACGGTATATTGATATATATATATATATTGATATACTGGTATTGTTTGTGTTAAACCAATTCACTACTATTGTAGACTATAGTTATCATTATAATAGAGAGAGAGAGAGAGAGAGAGAGAGAGAGAGAGAGAGAGACGACAATTGAATTAACAATTTAAATTGAAATGTATTTTTTTAATCAGTATTTTTGATATGTTAAATAATTTTTTTTACATTACCGTAATTTTAATACATATACTGTACTACTGTATAATTTTAATATAGTGACTATTATTATTATTAATTTTTACTTATAATTTTAATTATTTAGCATGTTTTTTTTGATTAATTTTTATTTTATTATTATTTTTTTGAATTTGTACATTATATTGTAAATTCAAACTTGAATGTAAAATAAATCAATTAAAAACATATATATATATATATATATTGTCCGGTGACCACCGGCTATTCGGCGGATTCAGGCCAGCCGATGGTCAACCTCTTGATCAGTGATGCTTGTCACCAACCAACACTTATATATACCTTACAATATAATATTTAACTTACTATTAAGTAATCGGTAGCCACAGTTATTATTAAATAAATAATAATATTTAATTAATAAATAACAATTATTTTATAATAATCGGTAGCAGAAAGTTCAATGAGATTAACAGTTTATTAATAAATAATAATTTATTAATAATAACCACTTTATTATAAGATAATAATAAATACTTTAGTAATAATTAACAACTATTTTATTATTAAATAATAAACAATTTATTAAACAGTTAATTTAGTATTATTATTATAATAATAATTTCAATAATAATCGGTTAAATAAGTTATAAATTTACATAATTTTTCATGACATTAATTGCTGAGACCCGACGCCTGAATCAAAACTGTATTATAAAATACAGTTTATTTTATAATAAAATTATAAATTTAACTAAAACATATAAGGTATATTCATATAACACCTTATATGAAACATCCTGCTTATTTATATAATATAAAACATTTATAAATAATAATAATTTAAAGTATATGTAATTTAAAATAAATAAATATTGCTATTCATTTCATTGCCCGACCCTTAGATATTTGAGTCCCTTCAAATAAATTACCAATAGTCGACGTCCGATTCGTTGCTTTCAGTTTGTTTTTTATTCATTTCTTGTTCATCAAAAAAATCTATCTCTTCAATCAGCGATTCATTCCATGGTTTCAATTGTCTTATGTTAACATTCTTATGTTTTGAGTTTGTATTTTGTAAGTCTTTTATTTTACAGACTAATTTATTATCATATAGTTTTATCACTTCATACGGTCCTATGTATTTAGGGAAGAACCTTTCTGACATCCCTTTGACTCTCGGTTTTATTTTATAAGCAACTCTATCACCTATTTTATAAGTTGTTTCACTTTTGTTGTAATCATAATTAGATTTTTGCAAATCTTGTACGTCACGTAATCTGGTCTTTACAATTTCTCGGGCTTCTATTAAATCCTGTATATAACAAGCATTTGTTTCATATACAGCTTTTTTATCAATTATCGCTTCACTAGGAAGTCTTGCTCGTCTTCCATAGACCAACTCAAACGGTGTTAGTTTAGTTGAGGATTGTTTAGCAGTATTATACGCAAATACAATCTTAGGCAACATTTCGTCCCAGTTCCTGAATGCGCTGTCCAAGTAGTGAGACAGTAGTTGGGTGATCAGTCCACACGATCTCTCCGCCTGGCCATTGCACTGTGGGTGGTACGGTGTTGTGAACGCGTGTTTTACTTCAGTTATATTCATTAGTTCTTTGACAATACCAGCCGTCATCTCCCGACCATTGTCTGTGATGATCTTCCTGACATATCCATGTCTATTAAAGAGTTCATCTTTTAACCAGTTTACAATAGTGATTGCATTCTTATTTGGTACCGCCTTCGCTTCAATCCACTTCGTAAACAAATCAACAAATACTATTACATATTTGTTACCATTATAAGATTCGGTGAGTGAACCAAGTAAATCCATTCCACAGATTTCAAATGGTTCTGTTGTGATTATACTTTTTAATAAACCCGTCGGTTTATTGTAATCTCTTTTAAATTTTTGACAACTTTCACATCTAGCGACATATTTTCGCACAGATTTTTCCTGGTTTGGCCAATAATATCGTTCGCTTACTTTACCGTAAGTCTTTCCAATGCCCATGTGTCCACCAGTCGGTTCATCATGGCATTCTTTTAAAACAGTTTCTCTTAAACTTTTTGGTAAACACAATAGTAGCTGTGAATTCCCTACTATGTCATGTGTTACAGTAGTTTATACAATACATCATTTTGTATTCTGAATTTTTTTATTTCTTTGTCATCGCGATTAGTTAAAATATTTTCTTTTATTTTATTTATTATTGTTGAACACCAGTTGTCTTTGTGTTGTTCATTTTTAATATCAACTTCTTCATTAATAATGAAGACAGGAAACTCTAATTCATTGTCAGTTTCATCTGAATCAATTTGATTATTAACTTTTATACGACTCATGGCATCCGCGTTACTATGAATTTTACCATTTTTGTATTCAATAGTATACGAAAATTGTTGTATAATAAGTGACCATCGGTTAAGTTTAGAATTAGGGTTGCGTATTCTTGGTAGATAGCATAGTGCACAGTGATCTGTTCTTATTATGACATGAAAACCAAATAAAAACTCCCGTAGCTTTTGTAGTGCCCATATAATAGCCCTTAATTCTTTTTCCGAAATTGAATAATTTACTTTAGCGTCATTAAATAGCTTAGATATATATGCAATATTTTTCTCTTTGCCACTTATTTCCTGTGAATATACCGCACCCATTGCATATTGTGATGCATCGGTGTATAAAATATTTTTAGCTGTCGGATCATATAGTCCGATTATAGGTTCTGACAATAGTTTATCTCTTAGCGTTTCGAATGCTAGAGTACAGTCGGGTGTCCAATTGAATTTACAAAATTTTTTTAGCAAATCAGTTAAGGGTTTTGCAATTTTTGCATAATCTTTAATAAAGTTTCGATAGAATCCAGTTAGTCCAAGAAACCTTCTGACATCTTTTTGTGTTGTAGGTTTCGGATAGTTAATCAAAGCATTTAAATGTTTTAAACTCGGTTTGATACCATCATGTGAGATAATATTTCCCAAGTATTCGATTTCTTTAGATAGAAATTTACATTTATCTGAATTCATCCTTAAATCATGTTTATCCAATCTCTCAAAGACTTCTTCGAGTTTTATTAAATGTTCATCAAACGTTTTCGAAAATACAAGTATGTCATCTAAATAACAAACACAACTCTTCCATAGTATATCTGATAGGACATACTGTAGATATCTTTGAAAACATGCCGGTGCATTGGTTAATCCAAAAGGCATTACTTTATACTGGTATAGACCATAAGCTGTAATGAATGCTGTCTTAGGTCTATCCTCAGGTGATACGGCTATTTGCCAGTAGCCTGACAATAAATCTATTGTAGAAAAATAGTAACAACCACTTAATAATTGTTGTGTTTCTGTTATTCTCGGTATCGGATGACTGTCTTTAATAGTTACATCATTTAACTTTTTATAATTAACGCAAAACCTATATTTCCCATTTGGTTTTGAGACCAAGACCACCGGGCTACTCCACGGTGAGTATGAAACTTCAATGAGATCATTAGACAACATCTCATCAATTTGTTTCTTAATTTCTAATTTTTCAAAATGACTCGTAGGATATGCTCTTTGCTTAATTGGTTTGGCATCCCCAGTGTTGATATTTAATTGAATATCTGTAGCACCTTTGATCTTATTTAATGTTGCACCAAACAAGTGTTTATATTTGTTTATTAATTTTTCGAAACTTTCATTTTTGTCATCCACAGTAGATAATATAGTGGTTAAGTCGACATCATTGTCATCTTCAGATTTATCATCGACAAAATTGACTCTATTTATAGAGATATCTTTGTTAGGTATTTGATAAAATTTCCCAATTAAGGTATTTGCTTGTATTCTAAAACCATAATTTTTAGAATTATAGACCAATATTTTAAGCATTCCCCACTTTAATTCAATTAACGTTGAATTAATACTTAAATTTGTTGTATTTAAGAAGTGTTTATTTGGTATAAAATAAACGAAATTGTGATCAACTTTAGGTAAGTCTGATACAACTTTAATTTTTTTAATTGAATTTTTCTTAAGCAATACATTTTTGAATGTAAAGACTTTAAAACCGCTTGAATTGAGTTTCGGTGGTGGTAAATTGATTACATTATTCTTCAAATCAATAACCACTTTATTTAATTTTAAGAAGTCTAGTCCAATTAACATGTCGTCTTGCATATTTTTATAGATCATAAATGTATGTTCAAAGGTATTCTCTTTAAGATCAAACTTAAGATCTATCGATTTGTCTAATATGTGTAGACTATGATCCAATAACCTTATTTTATGTGGTTTATGATCATCCGATTGTACATCAAGTGATTCTACAATACTTTCTTTAATCAACGAGACTGTACTTCCTGTATCAACGACAGCGTTTATAATATGCGATTCGACTATTATTGGAACTTTTATTATTTCAGTTTTATCAGCAGTCGTAAAGTAAATACATTCGTTAGTCATTTCTGGATATATACTGAATGGTAAGTGTGTTTCTTCTTCGACAAAACTATCACACTCAACTAGTTTTGTCTCGGACTGTTTCCCTGAAACTTTTTATCCTCGATTTCAGGACAGTCTCGACGGTAATGTCCAGTTTACCACACTTATAACAAACATATGCTTTGTTATCTTGTTTAGTAGTTTGAGGTTTAGTAAAAGTTTTTCGTTTATTCTCATCTCTTACTTCTCCTTGTCTTTGTTTCGGTTGATACTTGTTTGATCCAATTGATGTTTCTTTCAATTGCTTCATCACCTTATCCGCCACAACTGAAGCTAAGTCTTGCTTCGGTTTATTTTGTTGTTCAGTTTTATTAAACTGTTTATTTTTAAATTGAAATGAAGTATTC